CCTTTTCACCTTCTTTTCTGGGGTTACATTTTCAAAGAGGCTCCGTTTCACCACTTGGCCAACCTAGCTATGCGGTAGTGGTCTTAGTATCAGAGGCCAGGGTTGCCGAATCCACGATGAAAGCTCGTTATAAACGTTATTGTCTTTTCTGCTCATTTATATTCTTGTAATGTTCAGGTGTTCTGTCGTTTGCAGCCAATATGAGCCAGGAAGAGTTCGTCAATTCAGTGGCGGAGTTGTTGAGGGTTGTTGGTGGATTCAGGGCCATCCCTCACTCAAACCTGTTGTGCTCTACCTGTACTTCTTAGCCCGACCCAGCCATACCAAGTCCTATCAAACCTGGGTCAGGCGTAGGGCTTAGCCCAACATGCAGCTTGACATGATCCCTAAACTAGGACCCGGAGTAGGCCCTCATTTCCTTTTTCGGGCAGGGGGTTCCCTTATAATAACTTAGAAACCAAAAAGGGTGCGTTTGTTTCATTCCTAGGTTACTCCCGGGTCTGGTAAGCCCATGCTTCAAGACATCTGTGTCCGATGCTGAGATCGCAACAGCTGCGCAGCTGGGGTTGAAGTTCGTCTTCGCGAATGTCGTGGAGGCTCGGTGAGGGTTTGAGAATTTGAGGATGTTAGGGTTCAGGGTCGACGGTCTCGGATGCGCAGTGGTGCCCTTGTTCCCTCTGATTCTAAGCAAAGTTATACGTTCTTAGTTGTAAGTTAAACGTCATAAGTGACCAGCAATAAGAATACCTCTTTAGTTTACTGGTTCTCAGTGGGAGTTGGGGAAGTGGGTGCCCTAGCTAGTTCCTGCAAGGCTTACAAAAGGGCATAGTGTTATCGGCTTCTGATCGACAGTTTAGGGATGTGTCAGCCTCTCATCTTGATTTGGTTGAAGAATTCAATTGAGATTTACTGGAGACACGAAGCCCCAAGAGTCAAATCGATCATCTTGGCTTACTTCACGGTGTTCGTCACGAAGCGGATCCGTGCTCACAGCCCTAAACCCTAAACCCTCAACCCTAAACCCTAAACCCTAAACCCTAAACCCTAAACCCTAAACCCTAAACCCTAATTAAACCCTAAACCCTAAACCCTAAACCTGTGAGCGAGAGTTTCTGTGACATTTCAGTCTTGACCCCTGGCCCGCTGATCTCCTGAGCGAGGTGAAGCTGGTGGAAGCAGATCAGCTGATGAAAATGCTCCTTGGCATTTCTGTCCAAGTTTAGGGTTTAGGGTTTAGGGTTTAGGGTTTAGGGTTTAGGGTTTAGGGTTTAGGGTTGACAGCCGTTGATTGGGTTTGGGAGGGCAGTTCCAAGAGTCGGCATGGGTTCCTTTTCAACCCCTTTCGAGCAACAGAAGGGTTTAGGGTTTTAGGGTTTTAGGGTTTTGGGGTTTAGGGTTTAGGGTTTAGGGCCGCCCCTCTACATATTCCTCGGTTACTGGGACACTTGAGAACAACCTTCAACAAGATGCGCAAAAAAAGGTGCGAACGAACCCTGGCGATCAAACCCTGAAGCCTTCAAGGGTTTAGGGTTTGTTTAGGGTTCAGGGTTCAGGGTTTAGGGTTTGGGGTTTAGGGTTTAGGGTTTAGGGTTTTAAGGTCTCATGATGCTAGCGCTATAGGGCTTCGGGCCTCTAGGGGGCTGAGGGTTCAGGCATGTTTGGGGGGGTTAGGGATGGAGCTTTTTGGGGGGCTCCAGGCAGGTTTGCTACTGTGCTTGGAGGTGCTGTCTATTTAAGCTTAAAGCCGCCCGAAACCCTAAATTCTAAACCGTCGGGTTGATGGGGGGATAAGAGGCATCCCGTGATCATTCTGCTTGCCGTGACCTTCTTCGGGTGCGGCGCTCAACGTGTCGGTTGTCTCTGTGGGGTAAATGCTCCCTCGCATGTTGGGGGTGTTTCAACATGGCTCATCCTCGCGAGCCCCTGACTGACAACTACCCTTTCTCAGGGTTTGAGGCTTTGGGTTGAGGAGGGATGGGCACGAGTAGGTTCCCCCCCAAACCCTAAACCCTAAACCCTAAACCCTAAACCCTAAACCCTAAACCCTAAACCCTAAACCCTAAACCCTAAACCCTAAACCCTAAACCCTAAACCCTAAACCCTAAACCCTAAACCCTAAACCCTAAACCCTAAACCCTAAACCCTAAACCCTAAACCCTAAACCCTAAACCCTAAGCCCTAAGCCCCCTAGCCCTAAGCCCTAAGCCCTAAGCCCTAAGCCCTAAGCCCTAAGCCCTAAGCCCTAAGCCCTAAGCCCTAAGCCCTAAACCCTAAACCCTAAGCCCTAAGCCCTAAACCCTGACCGCAAACCAAAATTATTACGCCCTGAACTTGAGAGCTCCCAGGATCCCTCATTGAAGCCGCATCCTTGGGGAAAGGTAGGGCCAGTCTCCTGTCCCCTTGAAGAGGAGCCTTGGGGTTTGGGGTTTGGGGTTTAGGGTTTGGGGTTTAGGTTTTGGGGGCTTGGGGTTTAGGGTTTGGGGTTTCGGGTTTCGGGTTTGGGGTTTAGGGTTTTTGGTTTAGGGTTTAGGGTTTTTGCTGTGACATGCCGCAGAAGCTGTGAAGGTTGGGATGCAGGCTAGGAATTCTTCGTGGACTTCGCAGAGCAACGCTGGCCCGAATGTGAAGGGCCATCCGATTGCTTTATCCCACCCCACGCCGTCTCAGGTGGCAAAACCCCCCCAAACCTATTCCTTTTAGGCTTTAGGCCTAAACTCAATGCAACTGCCTACAAAAACCTGTTCCGTCCAGTGATTGAGGGGCTTCCTTCACCAAGCCCTCATGTAGAGGGGGGGGGGGGGGTACCGTAGGATCGGAAAGAAGTTGCAGATCCAGAAAATGGTAGACATGATCCCATGGGGGTCCAGGGTCCAAGGCACCCAGCAAACTCCAAACCAAAAGAAACCGGCAGCCTCGGGCAGGGGTTGCAGTCGAGGGTGTCCCAAAAAGGCGGTGTGGGAGAAGCCCACCCCCCCCCCCCCCCCAATGTAGGAGTTGCCTGGGCCCTGAAGTTTGGGAGGGTTTGGGGCACCCTCCGCTGCAGTTGGGAGGGTTGAGGGTTGAGGGCATCCTTTCCCTAGCCCAGCCACAACTGGCCCCTTCCAAGTGGGTGCTTAGGGGTTTAGGAACCACCCCTGGAGGGTCTCACTGCCCTGTAGCACCCAACATTGCGATTCCTGTTCTTCTGCTCAGCCGCAGGGTCTCAGACGGTTTTTCCCGGCACATGGACCACCTGACGACTTCAAGAGTCCCAAACTCATCTTGACCGCCGTGAAGTGTATGGTAAGACCATGTCACGCGCCGAATCGCTCCAGCATCCTGGCCAGCCAAAGACCAGATACTGCTGGCCGCGAAAGAGATGGACAACGTTCGACTTCAGCTTGGTTTGAACAACTAGCACCTCAGAGCTCCTTCGCGCGGGCAGTACATTTCAATTGTAGTAGCCAGAAAGGTGAACGAGGTTGTTTTCACTTCCAGCATTCTCTCTGCTGGACTTCAGTAGGGGTGAAACTTTAGGCTTAGAGTTCAGTGTCTCATGTCCAAGCAGTTCTGGTGGGATCGAACATTTTTGCTTCAGAATTAGTGTTCTGGTTTTGGGGCCGCCTAAGTACAAGAAAAGCCGTGAACCTTAACCCCTATATGCCCCGTATCCTATACACCCTAAACCTCAACACACCCTACAAAGTTCTTTGGGATCGGGGCCTAAATCCACTTCTCGGAGCCGTGCAGCTTCATCTGGGGCCCGACTGGGATGTTGCTGGCGGTGCCCCTGGTGGCCTACTTCAAGGCATGGTGCCCATCAGGGCTTAGGGTTCAGGGTTTAGGTTTTAGGGTTTAGGGTTTAGGGCTTGGGCCAGTTTGGGGTTCAGGGTTTAGGGGGAATCGCCCATTAGGGTTTAGGGCTTAAAGTTTGGGGTTTAGTTTCTGTGGGGGCGAGACTGAGACTCTTGGTGTTCTGGGATGCCGAAGGCAAAGGGTCCCCCGAACCCCTGAGCCCTGAGCTGAAAGCCCGAAACCCGGATTCAATGAGTCGCTCCTAAGGTAAGCCGAAGGCAGGCACAACAAGCTAACCCCCCAGCCCCCTTTCATAATATAGGGCTCCTAAGTCAGCATGGTATCTGGTGTAGTTTCTGTTAGAGTGCAAGAAGGACCATGAGGAGGGTGGGCTTCGGCAGTATACAGCTTAACCGGCTTAACTAACCGTCCAGTGAGTACTTTGCGCAGCTTCTTTGAGGGCTCCGCTGCACAAGAAACACCTTGCAACCTATATCTAATGCTGGAAGAATCTCAGAGGTATGGCTGGGCTAGAGGTTGTTGCATTCATAGCCTGATTTGAGGTATCCATGAACCCCCCCCCCCCGGCCCCCAAAGTGCACACAAGGCTCTGCAATGTCAGGTTACTTCGGGATGTTGGGGGTGAGCGCTTGGGCTTTGAATGCTTTAGGGTCTCGGTGTTGAGCTTGCAAGAGGGGTGGTGGCAGGTCGAGAGTTGAAGAGTTTTCTTGGGCTTGATATACAAAAGTGCATGGCTTCCCACTTTACCCTAAACCCTAAACCCTAAACCCTAAACCCTAAACCCTAAACCCTAAACCCTAAACCCTAAATCCTACTTTGATGCCAATCCCTTCTACGACGCCTTGGCTCCAGCGCATACTTTTCCATCTCTTCTCTCCTCTTCTGGGGCCCTTGGAGAATGCAGGAATGGACATCACGCGAAGCAGGGCCTTCCCCTCCACTGTGGGCCCAGGTGTCCGCGTTTTGTTAGGGTTTAGGGTTTAGGGTTTAGGGTTTAGGGTGTAGGGCCTATAAGTGCTTAGGGATGCTCAGGATCAGCCACAGAGTAGGAAGTCACCTCAGACAGAAGGATTGGGAGGTTGAGAAACCTCAGAGCATGGCGGCCCATATTGAGCCCTGCCAAATCATCAAGAGAAGTACTAGGCATCGTTCCCTGCAGTCGTGGCAGTACGAAAGTGTGGGGAAGAATCCGTGTAGCTGACCTCATGGCGGCACCGGTCGCGGCCTTGAGGTTCAAGCATGTCATCGGCTTTAAAGCTCTACGGTAGTCGTGGTTTGGAGGTTCGGGTTTGCGGCGTCGAGAGCTTTGGGATCTTGTTGTTTAGGGTGAATATTTCAGCAGCTCATCTCCATGGAGTGAGCCACCTCCAACCATCCACTGGACTTCATTGCCTCGGCGTTGGACAGGAGAGGTATGTCATGAGACCCAGGATCAAAACATCGCACAACAAAAGGTACTCCACAGCTGGGCATACTTGTGACTCAAACGGGGTTTTGTGACCGTGGGCTGGTACCTTTCAGGCACCTTGAAACCCTAAACTCTGATCTCTGAGGGTTTGGGAGCTCGGGAGACGCGTCTTGTGGAGAAATGGCTTGGCCACTGCCCCAGGTCGCTGGTGGGGAGTCGGTGATGACGGGCACTGCAAGGCCCGAAAGCTGTGAGGGGTCGGATCATGTTTTTTTTTTTTTTTTTATTTTAAGCTTTATGCTTGAGAATTTCGTGTCGAGCTCTCAGTGCCAGGGCACGTATGATGTTAGGTATGCACAAAAAGGTTCTCACTTCGGGCAGTTTAGGCGTTCAGGTTCTACCCCATCTCTGAGACGGCAACGCCGCTGCAGCTTAGGGTCCGGCAGACTTCGGAGTTGCCACCCTAAACCCTAAACCCTAAACCCTAAACCCTAAACCCTAAACCCTAAACCCTAAACCCTAAACCCTAAACCCTAAACCCTAAACCCTAAACCCTAAACCCTTACAAACCTTAGGGACTTGAGTCTACCGAAGGGTTCTTCGACTTTCTGTTTGCCAGGGCCCGTGGCCACTCAGTTGGCCGCCTGGTGGCCCGCTTCGAGGCCGGCTGAAGCCCTAAAAGCCCTAAAAGCCCTAAAAGCCCTATAAGCCCTATAAGCCCCTATAAGCCCTATAAGCCCTCTAAGCCCTATAAACCCTAAACCCTAAACCCTCCCTAAACCATCTCCAAGCCGCACCAGGGTGGCGATTAATTAGGGCTTCAAGATGTAAGGTCCAAAGTACAAGTAGATGGCTTGAGCTCACAGTCTTTCAGGTTCTTTGGATTTGTCCCTCAAACCTTTAGGTGCGGGCTTCAAGTCCCAAGAACGGCCAGCACTTGACCCCTTCCAACCTTAAACCCTGGTAAACTTGGGTGTATGCTCCCGAGCTTGGCACCAAGCACGCCCCCCAGGAACCTAGCACCCCTGAATGCTTTCAACTGGCTGCTTCTTGGTAATCCCTTGAAGGGGGAAAAAGAAAAAAGGGCCCAAATGTCCTCATTCCCGGCTAAGAACCAGGGGGTTCAAGCCCATACCACGCTTGGAGACCCTGATCCCCGAGCGTTCGCAGAAAGCCTTCAAAGTGTTGCGCTGCTTTTCACAGAGGCGTACAGAAAACTACAACCCAACCCGAGCCCTTAACCACGGGAATGCTTTCTTGACGCAGCCCTAATCCCACAACCCTAGCCCCAGACCCTAAACCCTAAACCCTATGAACCCTAAACCCCAAACCCAAAACCCGAAACCCTAACCTCCCCTCCCCCAACAAAAAAAGCAAAACAAATCAATATGCAAACATGTAAACCTCAACCCTAACCCCAGACCCTAAACCCTAAACCCTATGAACCCTAAACCCAAAACCCGAAACCCTAGCCTCCCCCTCCCCCAACAAAAAAAACACCTGAACCCTGTACCTGCTCTTCAGGCCCAGGGCTTTCACTTGGGCCACGGTGCGGCGGAATCCAGGCGCGGTTGAGGGTTTCGTACGCAGGGCCCCCCTCGCGCCCCTTTGGGTTTAGGGTTTAGGGTTGAGGGTTTAGGGTTTAGGGATTTAGGGATTTAGGGATTTAGGGATTTAGGGAGTTAGGGTTTAGGGATTTAGGGATTTAGGGATTTAGGGATTTAGGGATTTAGGGTTTAGGGTTTAGGCTCGCGCCCCCCTCCCCTCCTCACCCCTCCGCCCAGTAGGACTGCGGGCACCGCGCACCCACTGGCATCGGCCTTCGCACGCTGGTGGCGGGCGCCGGGCTGAGACTTCACCAGTCCCCTAAACTCTAAAATTTATGGGGGCTTATGGTTCTGGACGCGTCCACCTTCGGTGCCCTCCTGACTGTCAGCCTATGTCGACATGGCCCTAAACCCTGTAACACCAACATGTACCTGCAAGAGTGTCATGTAAGGGCTTTTTTTGCGGTGCCCTAGATGAGAAGAACTGTGCAGAAGCCGGTAGAAGACTTGTGCTATGGAACCCGACTAATGCTCCTATTTCATCCCAAGACTCTGAAGCCTAAACCTCAACACCCGAAGCCCTAAACCCTCAGCCAAAACAAACTCCTTAAGAGAGGCCTGCCAGCCGTCAGCCCAGCTGCGACGGCCCACGCCGGGTCCCCTCCGGCCGCCCAGGGGCCGCCAGGGCGTTCAGGCGCACAGTGAGAGTTGAAGTTTCGGGTTTAGGGTTCAGGGTTTTGAGATTTAGGACTAGGAACATCATCTCCTACAATAGCCCAAATAAACCTAAGTCCCGAACCCCAAGCCCTGAATCCTAAACCCTAAAGCCCCAAGCCCTATACCCTAAACCCTAAACCCTAAACCCTAAACCCTAAACCCTAAACCCTAAACCCTAAACCCTAAACCCTAAACCCTAAACCCTAAACCCTAAACCCTAAACCCTAAACCCTAAACCCTAAACCCTAAACCCTAACCCTTTGAAGCCTCAGAAGTCCTAAATAGTTGTTGTTCAGGGTTTCGGGGTCGCCTTGGAGCTGAGAGCCAGGGCTGAAAGGAGTTTAGCTGAGGAGTTAGGATAGGGTTTAGGGGTTTAGGGTTTGGGGTTTAGGGTTTAGGGTTCAGGGTTCAGGGTTCAGGGTTGAGGGTTTAGGGTTTAGGGTTTAGCCCTAGGGGTGAGGTGATGCTTCAGAGGGTTTAAGGGACAGAAACAGTCGAGACTTTTTGGTTTCCCGGGGTGGTTAGTTCTTTTTTGGGTTTGTCTGGGGTTGAGGTCAGTTCAGGCATGTTATGGTGAAGGCACCTAAGACGTGCCCACCAGAGCACTTCCTGTCTGCCCAAGAGGCTACCTAAAGCCTTTCAAGAAGGGCCGGAGTTGGGGGGCGCAGGAGAAGGGGGAAGGAGGGGAAAGCGAGTTGTGGTTTAGGGGTTCGGGCGTAGGTTTGTTTAGAGTTTATAGAGTTCGGGTGTTTAGGTCTAAGGGGCTTGCAAGAAAGGACCGCCCACGCACACCCCCCCCCCCCCCCAAGTTGTTCAAAGTTAACCCCTCTAAACTCCACACTTAAACCCCCAAACCCTACACAGGACACCTTCACCGACTCACCATCTCGCGCGGCATCTGCTCCAGGCACTTCGGAGTCTCACTTCATCCTAATCCCTAGGGCCCCTAAACCCTAAACCCTAAACGCTAAACACGCTAAACCCTAAACCCTGAGCCATAAACCCTAAACCCTAAACCTAAAACCCTAAAACCCTAAAAACCTAAAACCCTAAAACCCTAAACCCTATAAACCCTAAACCCTACACCCTAAAGCCAAACCCAAAACCCAAAGCCCGAAACGAGCCCCCAATTGGTTCAGCGGGTAGGGTTGTGTGCTTGGACAGTACGAGATGCTTGGTGTTTATGGTTACACGACCCCAGACATTGGGCATGATTGGGCTTGGGTACTCAAGTTGCCAGATTATGGGCATGGGATCTAGCGGGCAGTTTCCGGTCAGTAGTTTCCCTTGTAGAAGAGTCTCATCATGACGGGCATATACACCCGATACGAGGCTTATTATCAACAACATCCCCATATCGCAAACACAAGGCCGGAGGAGCTGCCTTTGGAGGTCGCAACAGGGAGCGGCCCGGCGATCAATGTTTCCATGACCCCGTGGAAGACACGCCCGCAATGCTTCACCAACGGCCGGACCTCGCAGTTGGGACGGGCGCGAGACAACTGTCGTGATGGATTCATGTTCGTGCGGTGCAAGGCCAAGGGGAAATGTGCAATTTCACCACGTCAGTTCCGATTCGAGATGAAGCCGCCGGGCAAGTATCGGACGACGAAGAGGCAGAGGAGGATAACCTGAGAGTCAGCATTGGCTAAATGCTGCCTTGGGAGTCTAAATGATGCGGTCCCTCCCCACATTCCAACCTGAACGCCCCAAGTATCCCTGCAACATTGCCGAACGGTACTGTAGACGGCTCACAAGGATTATGGAGGGAGATCTAGCCCTAAACCCTAAACCCTAAACCCTAAACCCTAAACCCTAAACCCTAAACCCTAAACCCTAAACCCTAAACCCTAAACCCCAAGATCCGCCCTTGGGGACCCTCTTGGTTTCCCTGCTTTGCTGCTTGCTTTTAGGGTGCCCGAAGTGGCCCAGAATGTCGATGGGCAGAGGTTTGTGGGGTTTAGGGTTTAGGGTTTAGGGTTTAGGGTTTAGGGTTTAGGGTTTAGGGTTTAGCGTTTAGGGTTTAGGGTTTTGGGGGAAGCTTGAAGCCTAAACGCCAATCTCGCCGGTTTCGGCTGGCTGCCGTCATTTCTCAGGCTCATGCAGACAAACAACACCCTCCCTTTCCTGTTTTTTGTAGAGGCCAGGTCCACTTTCTTACCCGATTGTACAGAGAAGGGCACACAGCTTGCTGGAAGCCCCAACCCTGAAGCCTAAACTCGAGTTTCCTTCGGAATGTAAGGTTTTGTTG